GGCTGGAAATCGAACTTCTGGGCTCGACTTATCGCGTCTAGTCTGGACGCGATAAGTCGAACCCGGAAGTGCTCGCCGTCGACTGCGGTACTCCAGCTCGCCGAGAGGAGTACCGCGGAGTCGACGGGGGAGCCTGCCTGCCGAGTGTGGACCAAGGTAAGTTTGAACTAATTCGAAATAAGGTACTTCGAACTTCAGCTACGTTATTCACGTAGCTGAAGTTGCGTACCTTAGTTCGAATTAGGGGGGGTAGTGTAGACCAAGCCTTAGTACTCTTCCCACATGGGAAGTTCCGCAGACATTTTTTCTGTTAGACCTGAGTAGAGACTGTCTGAGGATATTCACACTGTGTGCTGGAGATTAGGGTAAGAGTACAGAAGCCTAATCTCCCCCCCACCAAAACCAACCACTATCAACAACCCCCCACCGCCCAAACCAGGAAATGACTCTCTGTATTTGTTCGTGCATCAGGCCTATTAAAACATATAGCCTCAACTCCTAGATAACCAAAAGAACCCAGCAAAGGTTTTATATAGAGTAAACCCTACACAGAAATCCAAACAGAGAGTCCTGCTCACCCAAAACTAAACTAACTCTATAGATGTCACCTTTTTAGAATACAGGCCTTGCTGTTACCCTCCCCCTCAGCCTTCCTGATTATTGACCCAAGGGATCTCTTTATAAATGAATCTGGTTGGTAGGTTAATAAGGGACTCACACCTGGGCCCTGATTGACCAATGAAGAGCTCTAATTAGCTCTGTCAGTATCCTTCAGGGTGCGGGACCCAGTTTAGACATTAACTCCCTGATTGCTGGCTTTGATGCAGACCTAGTTTCTGAAGCAATAAACATGTCTTTAATTTCCTTTAATCTGAAACTTTCCTGGAAGCTAAAGACTCATCCATCTACAAGTACTCAAATACTTTTGTAACAAGGTCATGATTGACATGCTTATCTGCCCTGGTTACAGCAAGCACAGATGACTTGTACCCTCATGGCTTTTAACCAGAAAACCATATGTCCACTGTTTACACATCTACTCATACAAAGCTGCTGTACCATGTAGCTATCCCATAATGCCTTGCGGGGGCAGAGAGGGGGAATTGCATCTACAGGAGATGTACCAGCAATAGATGAGGCAATGCTTTCTGGGCTGTGTTACCACACACAGAGCTGTGACAATACAGGGCTGGCTAACCTGTTTACATAGTGAAAGGGTCACATTTACGCAGCAAAATAACACTGTCATAACACGGTTACAGGAAGACATGGTAGCCTGGCCTAAGTACACAGTTAGCTCCCAGGATTAACCATGTCTTGTTTGTGAACAAATCAAGCCTGTCACAAAGTGGTTATAAACTCACTGCCAGTGTTCTAGTGTGCACAAGACTGAAAGCTCCAAACACACAGGATAGTCTGTTGAAGAAGGGGGAGAGCATTTGACAACTGATGTGGTGGCTGAAGGCATCTCTCTCTATGGGATGTCAAGCGTTTCTTTCTTCCTCTCCAGATGTAGCAAAACATGAGGAGTCAGCCGTACTTAATTAAGGCTTTTCACTTGCTTTTTTTTCTTTTCTCAGCGACAGACTATTGAGCTGATCCCCATCACAGAAGTTCATTATCTGTATGCAGGGAAGACGTACCTGTACTATGTCTATGGACTAGAAAACAAGGTGTATGCACTGGACTACCCAGAGAGGTACTGCTGTGGCTGCACCATCATATGATGGCAGTGGAATGCTTCCAGAGTTCTTCAGTGTGAAACAGACAATGGCCGCACTTATAATGGCAATATTAACGTTCCGTGGATGCACCCCCAGCAGGGTCAGCACCAGAGGGAGAAACAGCATGGCAGGACTTGGGTATTTTCATCACTGTGTCATCTGGTCCCACTCAGGGTACAGTTGGAAGACATGATGGTAATAACTCCTGAGTCCTGTTTACTCTGCAGCTTTATCTAGTGCTACTACCCATGGAACTGCATGGACCTAAAATTTCCAGTCTAGATGAAGTCAATGAAAGAAGAAAATAAACCTCACCAGGAGAGAGAATAAGGAACACAACTCACATACTCACCAATGCTATTAGCAGCTCAAAGCCTGATTCAGCCTCATTAGAGCCAATGGAAAGATCAGGCCTTCAGAAAAGTATTTCCACCTGAGGATGTTTTGTTTGCTTATTGCTGTAATGATTCACCATTAAATGTTACATATTTTTAAGTCTTTTTTTACATTCAAGGTTATGCCACTTACGAGTGATGTGTTCTCGTCTCTATTCTTTTCTTTGTTAGGATTTCCCCGAGCTACTACATATAACCCATAGTAACAGATAACATATTTCTCTCTATATTAAATTATTAAATCTATTTTATTTTAAAATACCAACTGGAGTTTGCCTGATGTGATAATACTTGTATGGAAAGGATCAGATAAGAATAAATAGCATTTTCAGGCACCCTGTACATTGTGTGTGATGTTCTTGGCAGCTGGAGAGGAGGTGAAGGACACTGGGCCTGGGGCAGGTCAAAGTGGAATTGTTTATTTAATTGTACGTATTTGTAGGGTGGAATTTTTAACTCTGTTCCCACTGAAGTCAATGCTGAAACTTTCAGCCATTAAAGATTATTGCTCTTCCTGAGAAACCAGCACATGCTCCCATGAGTAGAAGAAAAGCCATGTTACTCAAATCCTATGCAATTCCCATAATCCTGTGAGGATTTGGAATGAGGGGGTCAATTTCACCACCTGTTTGTGCCAATGGTTAATTCCTTTCTCCATTCCTAACACCAGACTTTAGGATTCAGGTTTTTTTTTTAGAATAAGGGGTGGGTGGGTGTCCAGTGCAGCTGTGGGTCTCTGGGAAGTCAAAAGTCCACTGGGGGCTGAGAGACAAAGATCAAGGAATCCATCAAACTGGGGCTGGTGATGATCATGCTGAGGAAGATCTGGGAGTCCTGGAAAAGCATGGAAGACTGTTCAGGACGGTCAACATTTTTTGAAAAGGATTCTGACAGCTTTGTGTATCCTGAATTTTCCAGCCTGGATTGGGATGAAGGTGGAATATTCCTCAGGTAAACTAGCCATGTGAAAATGTTGCTGTAGTGCTAGAAGTGAAGATTTGTAATTTCCTGTTGCCATCACCTTGTTCCCAGACAGTGCTTGCTGCCCTCTGGCTGGCAATACTTCATCTAGGGAGAATATCCAATGCTGGGACCTGATCCAGTACACACTGAAGCTAAATGGGAATCTTTCCACTAACCTCAATGGGTGCTGGATCATGCCTAGAGTATGCAGTGTTGCTTGCTCTTGCAGTCTTACCACTAATCTTGCAATATTTGGTGTTACTCTTAAAGTCCAAGCTATTGCCAGAGACCCCTGAGAATCCCAGCTTTCATTTTTAAAAAAAGTCTAGCCCTAATTGTGGCAGAGAAAAGCTTGAATGGGTGAAGTGAGCACCCTCTAAAGGCTCAGAAACCAGAAAGGCAATAAAAAGAAGCCAACGTTTTTATTTAAAAAACTCTCACATGGGTGAAACCAGACAATCACTACACTCGTGAATGAACTTACACAGAAACACGATAAAAACAAAAACACCCATTGGCCAACACTTTTTACAAAACAATCATTCCATATGCAACCTCTCTGTCTTCAGCCTCAAAGGAAATCTGCAAAACACGTTCAAAAAAATGAGCTGGGAAGCTTAATTCATAACTTTGCTAGACACTAAAAAGCATGGTCTTAATAAGACACTGGATTTATGGCTTATTACAATAATCTGTAACCCACTCTTTTTGTCCTATGACTGCAGAGATATTAACAGGCCACTTCACCTTGAATTATCCCTTAGAATATATGTTAACTACTTATGCTAAACAATTTATTCCATCTTGTATTTAGCTGTGACAATCTCCGTACCTTCTGCAGACTAGGAGAAGAACTCTGTGTAGCTTGAAAGCTTGTCTCTCTCACCAACAGAAGTTGGTCCAGTAAAAGATATTACCTCACCCACCTTGTCTCTCGTGAATTTGAAGGCAATTTCATAATTTTGGAGCCTGACTCCTGGTTTTCAAATAGTTGGGGTTGACAATACTGTGTACATTGCTGGGTGGTAATAACAGATAGACATAAGTATCAAGCAATACAGTTTGTGCCTCTGATTATTCTTAAATGCTCCTTTTGTCTCTGGTGTAGACAGAAAAGCAACAAGGAGTCCGGTAGCACTTTAAAGACAAACAGATTTATTTGGGCATAAGCTTTCATGGGTAAAAATCCTCACTTCTTCAGACGTATGGAGTGAAAATTACAGAAGAGAAGCTTACCCATGAAAGCTTATGCCCAAATAAATCTATGAGTCTTTATGGTGCCACCGGACTCCTTGTTGTTTTTGTGGATACAGACTAACACGGCTACCCCCCAATACTTGGTGTAGACAGGTAATTCAGCAAGGGCAGCATAGAAATGTTTGTGGTTTTAGCAAGTTAAGATCCATAGACTGGGTCTGATTCTCCCCTGCCTTGTACCTTGCATGCTCATTTGTAGTTCTGCGAAGTGGGTGTCAATACCTATCCAATCAGAATAGTAGCTTTTTATATTGTGTAAATGTAAATGACCACTCAAGGAGAAAGGCAGGGGAGAATCGGTGCCTTCGGTTTGCACATAGCACTCCTATCGACATCACAAGGTCATGTGGGAGCAGATTAGGCATGGTGCTTGGCTTGAATTTTGTTTGATTAAAAAATAAACAAACCTGATGAATATTTGGGTTGATGGGCCATTTTTCAAAATTATTTTCACTGCTCTAAATTTAGCAGAATCCACTGCCTTTGAAAGTAATGTTACAGCAGAAGAATTAGTTTCTAGAGGAGGTCTGTCTAATATTATTTCTAGAAGAGCAAGAGGCATCCCATTGGTAATCGACTGTAACACACAAAGGATGAGAGCCTGGAGAGGTACATGCCCTTATAGTTTTGCCCACCAGAGGGAAGCAAATGCAAACAGAAATGTAGTTTTGCCTGGCATTCCATTTTTCATCAACTTTGTTTGCATAGATTCTACACTGTATGGTTTCTGGGACTTCTGCTAACAATTGTACACAGTAGAATTTAGCCCTGACATTTGTTCTTAAGACAAACAATTAGGCTCACAGACTGAGTCGGCTGCCATTTGTCCATAGATTCCTGTTTTATGGCATAACTCCAAATTGCTTTGGGTGGTCTTTTATTTTGGTCTGAGCTACGGCATTTGGAATTAGATTTTGAAGCCCTCAAATTTGTGGCAAGACGTGATCTAGGGCTTTGATTCAGGTGCATTTCTAAAATCACTGAAAAACTGCTAAGAAGAATGCACTTTAAAATAATATTTGACTTTTCTTTTGCCTCGCCACAGTCTCTCTCCCCACTTCCCTGGCGTCAGATATGATAATGTAAAACATACCAAACTGCTTTTCCAAGAAAAGAAGAGCATTTCAAAGGGCTGTTTCTGAAGCTTCATCTAGGCTTCTTTCCCCACTTCACAGATGCCTTTACAAAGCACAGTTTGAAGCAACTTATTCTCCTCCCTATTTCGAGTCTTTCTCACTCAGTAGCTCTGATACACACACTATCCCAGTGGTAGGTCTTGCCTGAAATACATCAAGCAAACTCGTGTGTGCATTTACTATGTACAAAGTGCTATAGCAGTGCCAGAGATATCAATTCCTTTAATTTCTTTTTTTTTAATACACCAAAAGTGAGTTCATTTCCCCAAGATGAGAAACTACTAATACTCACAAACCAGGAAAGAACTCCTCAGCTCAGGCAAGTGCTTAGGGGCATTTGTGCCCTTATAGTCAGGCTGCAGACAGCTACTGCAGCATAAGAGGAGGAGTCCTGGGCCTAGCATCTTCTGTTCTGTACCACTGCATAGAATTTGCTGGGTGTGAACCCACTGATCATGCCCTTAACAGGAGCAAACATTTGTACTCCACTGAGTTCCCTGGCCAGACTACATCTCCCATAATTCATCCAGAGTCATGTGACTCCCATGATGCACCACACAGGTGGGTGAGGGGGAATTTGTGTTGTATTTTGGGACACCTAGTCTACCAGAGAGCCTGACCCCTAGGAGAGAATGTGGGCTCAAACTACAAGGTCCATGAGGCAATGTACTGGGAAATTCAGTTTAAAGTTTTGTTGAAATTATTTGAAATGAATCATTTCAGGTCAGTTCGACAAAATGAAATATTCTGAATTGAATTTACCCAAATGAAATGTTTCATTTAGCTTTTCCCCCATCAGAAGATCAAAACAATTTGGAAACATTGAAATTTCCCTATGAAAAATGTCAGTTTTGTGGCGACCACGTTTTCCATTGGAAAATCATTCCAATGGAAAATTCTCAACCAATTCTCTATATAAAACCTGATCATTATCCAAAACTTTCAACCGAGGCCTCCTCATAGTCAATGTTCCCATGTTCTATCTTCTTTCTTCTACAGCTTAAGCATTTTTCACCCCACCTTAGGACAAAACTGAATGTAACCTAGGTTTCTGTTTGGCTTTTATCACATAAAATATTGACATCATTCATCTTTCCTTCATCACTGAGAGACCCAAGCAGGCTGTGTTTGACCCATCTATCATATATAGAAAATCTAATAGAAAGGCTTTACAAGCTAGAACTAATACCAATTCCATATTCAAAATTGCTTATCCTTGACCTCCAGGTGGAGATCTAAGTCATTTTGAAACACAGCCATGGTCTTATTAAAGTTTTTGATGTTAAACAACATGAGAAAGGTTTAGTGCTATTCAGAAGTCATTTGTTCTTGAAGAAATGTTTTGGCATGTTGCCAGAGTCAGTGTGAGTGTCCGAGGGAAGCAAAATAAGTGTGTTAATATTTTCCCTCCCTCCACCTCCCTAGAATCTTTGCATGGAGTTTTGGCTGCACAAAACGTACCCACATAGAAACCAAAGATCCAAGGGTTTTGCCTAGCATCATGCAGGCTACATTGGGAGGAAATTCACAAGAATGAAAAGAAAACCAACCAGGTCAAGGGCAAACACATTTTTGCTCATAAACGGAATCATCAATGGTCATGTGCTCCCAGCTGGAATACAGCTCAATATCTCTTTTTTTTTATTTAAACCAGACTCATAGAAATAGAAGATGGGAAAGATCCATTAGGACACCTAGTCTAGCTCCCAGCCAGCATAGGGTAACTCATCAAAGTGCAATAAAACTCATGTTTGCTATTTTGCTCCTAATCTTCATTGAGTCATGCAGGCTAGCAGTTATATTAACCACACTTCTGTAATCTATAGCACATGTTGCATCCTGCCCCTCTCCCTGTGTAATTTTCCAAACCATCTTTTTTTTTTTAAAATGCCCCTTGCAGGCAGGACCCATGTCACTATGACTTCTCCAGTCCAAGAAACCCTACATATCTACCTCCATAACCCCTACA